CTTTCACCCAATATTGAATATTGTCTTAACCCTATATTCAATATTATCCTATATCAATATCACTTCAACCCTATATTCAATTTTATCCTAAACCGATTTTTTACCCAACATTTAATTTATTCAGAGGACTGTTCGCTGTACATGCATGCAATACCTACGGGAAATGGAAAATCTTCTTGGAGCTGCACCCTCTGTACACAGTTGTACGTTTCTAGGTCTTCAATGGTGGTATGTATGTACCATATAATCAAAGATAATATATATATAGATATGCAGGCAGGTAGAAACCTCCTTCCTAAATTGCTTGTAGCAGACAACTAATTTTTGAACCTCTGAGAGAAGGTGCAAGGAGAGACATCTATAGCAAATTGATTACTTTCTATATTCCTTTCTCCCCTTGCTGCCATCTGTAGGAAATATTTGTGTTATATAAACATACAGTACGCGTATTGCATCCTGTATAGTTCAAGTGTTGCTATCTGGACCTGTTTGGCCAATAAAATCAAATTTCAAGGTAACACAAACATACAGTACGCGTTTTGTTTATGTTATGATCAGTTGTACTTAGTAAAGATATAGTAGACAAACAGAAATATTGACAAACCTTTGGAAATTATTTTATATTTGTTAAATAAGTGATATCTATTAAATCAAACGGTTTTTATGAGATATTTAAATAAAATTAGATTTTTTAATTGGTACCACAATATGCAATTAAGATGTTGGGGTTGATGGTTTAAAGAATTATTAAAATTACTGTTTTTTATACATGAATTCTAGTAAACAAGGCAAATAAATTGCAACTTTTTTTGGGAGGACTTTGTCCTAGATTCGATGTACTTTTTAATCATAATTTTTATTTAAATTGCGTTAATTTACGTATGCCATTCAGTACAACTTGCACATTTAAACTTTGTCTAGTCAAATTCCTACCTCAGTTTTATTTGCATTGATTAATTTGTTTCATTAAGTACAATATGCAGTATACATTGTTGATACTATAGTACGCATTTAGTGTTATCACGCATAAACAAAGTGATAAATTGGGGTGGTTCCTAACTTGGCGGAGGGGGGGATAGATAAAACTCCTAAATTGATTATTTGGCCGCAGCGCCGGCCCCCTAGCCTGTCCTAGCCGCGGCGCTCGGCCCCCTAGCCTGTGCTAGCCGCAGCGCTCGGCCCCCTAGCCCATCCTAGCCGCAGCGCTCGGCCCAGAAATAGTCTTAACCTAACCTAACCCTCAATAATAGGAGTTTTATCTATCCCCCCCTCCGCCAAGCTAGGAACCATCCCTGATAAATTAGCAACAATCCAGAGGATAAAATGCCATGCGTACGACAGAGATGGTGCTGTTTGCACCTTTTCTCAAGACCTCAAAATTTATACCTGCCTGCATATCTATATATATATATATATTATCTTTGCATATAATAGATTTTTCTTGGTCTCCAAGATGTGTATAATAAAGATCGGAGAGTTAGTGTTTGCGACTATTTTGTATGAGTTATTAGAACTGGTTTAATGTAAATATTTGGCAATTGGCCTCTCATTCCTACCAAGGAAGGTTCCGACCTTTGTTACAATCTTTGCTATTTTTGATCAAGCTAGTTCCTACATGTCATAGTTCTTAGCAGAAACCTTATCCCTCCTATACCTGTATTAAATATACCTTGCAGGACCATTTATACTGTTTATTTAAAACTTAAACTGTCATTTTAATATTTTGACACTATACTTTATGTCCCCAAAAAACATGATAAATCTTTTTATTATGATTACGTAACAAAGTAACTAGTAAACCCGCTGAATATTTTTGTTTTTAATACCTGTAATAATTTAATGATATTTTTACAAATTTTAGGATCATGTGCGCGGCGCTCATCTTGGTGCTGAACCGTTCTTCCCGTGCACATTTTGTGGGCGCGTGTTCAGATCTCGGAACAGTAGAAGCGGACATGTATCTAAGAACCATAAACCCATTATAATCCCATCTTGATCAATTCTTTCTCATAAGGGATGTACACTGTAATAAAACTTTAGACGTAATTTTAAGTGACCCCATTTTTAGAGTGGCACGTACGATTCACGACGTTACCCTTCTCTTAAAGGCGTTGTATGATCAAGATTGAAATTATTCTTGTTGTTTCTCTTTATTAATGGCTTGCATATGTTTTCAAACAAACAATGAAGGAAATGTCAGAATGTGAGCTAGAAAAACAACAATATCTTCCATATTATTGATCAGATAAAGGTTTAAACTGTACTGTTTTAAATCTGACACGGTACTCGAATGTTTACCTGCAATTATAATTTAATTGTAATAAACTATTCAATCTGAAATCTGTTTAATTGCAATTAGTGATAAAATATTCATTAAAACCTCCTTCAACGAGAGTTAACTAACTAGAGTTTAGAACCGGGACTTGTTTAAACTGTCATCCTGTCAGTTCATCCTCCAGTGTGATTTATTTCCCTACTAAACTACTGCAGAGTGTCCCAATAAAAATGGGAATTAATTTTCAAATTGTTCTAAGCGGAATTTTCCGTTAATACACTTTATTTGTTACTAACTGAAGGGCCCGGCGTTGCCCGTGAAAAAAAAATCATTAAAAAATGTATTTTGAAAAAAATTTAGCCTATAACACCCCCCGGCCACCTACACCAATTTTCAGCCCATTCGGTCCAGCCGTTTGGCGGCTATACGCAACATATATATATGAATGTCTTGTTTTATTATATAGATAAATTCACTTTAAACTGAAGATACAAGAAACTCCTAGTCTTGGGATTTCCAAAATGTGGTCTATCATTAAAATTGTGATATATTACTGAAAATCTCTGAATACATCACAAAATGACGTTATGTAATAAAAAAATCACTAAAGACATTATAAACCCTGCAAATAGTCTCAAACTAAATCTTTTTTGTTTTTCCAAACTTAATAGAAGTCTTTCACAAAACTGAACACTTTTCACAATCCTAATATCTTTGAAATCTGTTGTTTATAGATCAAACAGTCAAAGTTTCAAAAGTTGACCGATCAGACCACAAAGATAAATGAATTTGAAAATTAATTTTTGAAGCAATTACGTACCCGCAGTCGCTTCCTTTTAAGTTATGGGAAAGATGTTACAGTTGATGAAACCTTAAAAATCCCAGAAATGAATATTATATTGTATCAAATAAAGATTTCTAACGAATGCTGTCTTCAATTAATGGTGAAAAGTTGAAGCAAAACTTTTGACATTTCTCTGGAGATATTTCACATTGTTTACATTTATGTTTATTTGTTGTTTATGCATTTAGTACTTCATACTTTCCTCGTTTATTCTCTTCTTTTATATTTATATCTAGATGCATCATCTTCTTTCATGCTCATGCAGATTCTATAAATACAACTAGGCTTGTTGAAATTGGATAACTTCTGAGTTTGGAACTTTTTAGTAAAAATAAGCTACAAAGCGACCATAAACTATAAACTATAATTTTTCATTTAAAACGCATTCGCCGACAAATAATTAAACGGTAAAAAAGAAAAACGAAAAATGATGTTTAAATATGTTAAATTGATCAAATTTTGATCGAAAGTCCCAGGTTTCTAGGTTAAGGACCAAACAAATATCAAATCTAATTCGATATCTGCAACTTCTAACTGAAAGGATTTATCAATTAATCTCAAAATAGGTAAAACTTTTTATCCATTTCGATACGTTTTAATATTTTAATTATTAGCCTTAGTAAACATGAAACATATAAGTTGTGTAGTACCACCCCACTCTAAAAGATGCATGTTCCGTGCCAGTACAACGTGTATGTATTCACTCGTACTGTCCAGTCTAGACAGCGTAGAGTCGACCCAGCACGTTATAAGCAACAAATTTAGCCTGGCAAGATTCATTTCATTTTATTTTCAATCTATAGGAACACTGCTTTAAAACAACATCTATAAAATAAAACAAGACATTCGTATCTATATATATGTTTCGTATAGCCTGCCAAACGACTGGACCGATTGAGCTGAAATTTTGTGTGGACACTCATGGGTGGCCGGGGGGTGTTATAGGCTAAAAAAAGTTCGAAATTATTTTTTTTCAAAATTTTTTACTTATTTACAAAAAATATTTTTCCAAGGGCAACGCTAGTATCAGCTAGTATCAAATGAACACTTAAAATTGCTTGAATGCCTCATTTTTCGAAATAAAGACATCAGAGACAGTATAACTCTGTTTTCCATAATATATAAAACATGAAGAAGATATAAAACATGAAGAATATATAAAACACGAAGATATAAAACATGAAAAAGGAAAGTATCAAGGGCTGGTTTTCGAGTTGACTAAATCTGAAACTCACATTCTTTCCTTATTGGTCAAATCAGTCGATATCCGCGATATCACTATTGCGAAAATTTTAATAAATTCATTCAGAGCTGGGAACTTTTGAATGGTGGATATCGGGATTAATGCTTGATCCACTCTTTTTCTTAATCTCGAGATTAAATAACACTTGTTCTCCTCTTGTTATCAATCTTCAGAGCTGGGAACTTTTTTGAATGGTGGATATCGGGATTAATATTTAATCTCCTCTTTTTCTTAATCTCAAGATTTAATAATTCTTGTTCTCCTCGTGTTATTAATCTCCAGATTAATTTACCGATCGGGATTAAGGATATCCCATTCTAAAGTTCCCAGAGTTTGGAACTTTTGAATGGTGGATATCGGGATCAATGCTTGATCCACTCTTTTTTTCATAATCTCCAAATTAAATTATGCTTGTTCTCCTCTTGTTACTAATCTCCAGATTAATAAACCGATCGGAATTAAGGATATTCCGTTCTAAAGATTTCAGCTCAGCTTAGATTAATTAACCGAAAGGGACTAAGGATATCCCATTCTAAAGTTTTCAGCTCAGTCTTCAAAAGTTTTTAGCATTGAACTAATATAATTAAATCTTTGTATCAAATATTCATATCTCCGTAAATGTTGAAGGTTACAAACTATAAAGTTAAAACACTTTATTTATCATAATAATCTAGAAGGACATAATCAAATATTTTCTTCAAAATATCGTCTTTACTGCACATCTCTGAGTTCGGAGCAGGCCTATCCTGGAGATTCTGGAGATATGAATTTTCAAGAATTAAACTCGGGTTGGTTTTATCAGAGTTGAGTATGGATTCCATCTCCTGTTTTGAGAATGATAGATCGGAGAGAAGATCCCAGTCCTGTATATCATGTTTACAGCTTCCATATCTTTAGAAAACAAACTTTTCAACTTTTTAGGAATAAGAAGAGACATAGTTAAGAGACTGTCAAAGAATTTTAAGCAACCCTCAATAGGGCGTCCCAAAAAGGAAAAAAAATTGTACTCGGTATTTTTTCCCATTCTACTATGTATCTATCCTAAGCCTCTCTTTATCGAAAAAAAAACTCTAACCACTATTTTAGCTTTCTGTAAAACTTAAAAAAAAGGGAAAAAAACGTAAATTTAATTTGTTTTCTTGCAGAGCATCTAAAAATACAACACCAAATAATGATCCAGTTCTCAGCTTAAGCGAACCCTATCTGAACGTCTGCTAATAAGATTAAACTAGTTTTAGATATTCATAACATGATTTTAGATAACCCTGCCTGAACTTGCCTCAATTAATGATCATTTTATGTTTCTTGAAACAGAAAATAACATGAGTATAGAATCACACTGTATAAACAACTAGTTTTGAGGAATATCTTTTCATATTTTAACAAACCTCTACAGATTACATTGATAATGATATAAAAGTCAATCTTACTGTTCTTTAAACCTAACTTCACAAACGTTGTGGGATCAACTTATATCAGCTGGTTTTGAGGCGGAATAAAATCATCAATAAAAAATGTTTTTAAACATATCTTTTCATACAATTTTTTCTCGCTAAATTCAAATTTTTGTTCCGATATTTGAAAATTTTTGTTTATCCTGTAGATGGAGGAGAGGAGATGAAAACAATGAAGAACTGCTTCCTCCCTTACAGCCAGGATACTTGAACCCTCAGATCCATCCACCAAACTACCAAACCAAACCAATTCTATCAACACACCAAACCAAAACAATCATAATAATCCTCCAAACTAAATCAGTTCTATCAATCCTCTTAGCCAAACCATTCCAATCACCAAACTACCCAAGAAAATCAAAACAAAACACCAAAACCCAAACCCATCCATCCACCAAGCCACACCAATTTAACCAATCCTCAAAACCAAACCGATTCTATCAATCCACTAAGCCCATGCATCCACCAAACCAAACCATTCTATTCAACAAACTACTAAACCAATTTTATCAATGTACAAAACCAAACCCATCCAACCACCAAACCAAAAAAATCCTACCTATGCTCCAAACACCCAAACCAAATCAATTCTATCCACACCAACCCAAATTAATATATTCCCCAAAACAAACAAAACTCATCCATCCATTCAACCAAACCAAACCCATTAATCCACCAAACCAAACCAAGCCTACCCATCCATCAACCACTTAAACCAAAAAAATCCAATCCATCCACAAAACACTCAATCATGTTCATCCACAAAACCAAACAAATAATATCCATCCACCTCTAGCTAATCTTATCCATTTATCAATCCTTCCCCCCCCCCAGAAAAAAAAATCTCTTTCAATCTACCAAAGAACTAAATCAATCCACTAAACTAATCTTATCTCTTCACCAAACTATCAAACCAATCTAGTTTCATCCATCCAACAAACCATCCTTACCTATCCACCAACCCATCCTTATCCATCTACCAAACCATCCTTATCCATCCACCAAACCATCCTTATCCATCTACCAAACCATCCTTATCCATCCACCAAACAATCCTTATCCATCCACCAAACCATCCTTATCCATCCACCAAACAATCCTTATTTATCTACCAAACCATCCTCATCCATCCACCAAACCATCCTTATCCATCCACCAAACCATCCTTATCCATCTACCAAACCATCCTTATCCATCTACCAAACCATCCTTATCCATCCACCAAACCATCCTTATCCATCCACCAAACCATCCTTATCCATCTTCCAGACTCACTCAGTAAGTTAATCCAATCCAATCACAAAACCAATTAAATTCCAAACCAATCAAAGCGTCGATTTCTTAATTAGAAAAAATTAGATTTGATTGGTTTAATCCCTGTTTATATCAAGATTATTGAGTAATTTAACAATCATACTCTCAGAGATTCTTTCCCGGTAATCCCGTCTCTTTCGCCCATTGTTGTTCATGTTGGTGTTAGTGTTATCGTTGTTGTTGTTATTATTGTTGTTATTGTTATTGTTATTGTTATTGTTTACAACAACGTTAGTTCCGACCCCGGCTCCAACTCCAGTAGCTGTTATCATGATGTTTAACATCAAACTGAAAAATATCAATTATTTTTATTTGGTTTCCCGTCGAGGTTATTTAAAGAGACTAGTCGACATAACTTCATTTTACCCTTCATTTAATGAGTAGCATATTAACTATCTGAAAACTTTTTTTCTGTTCAGAAACGATTGAGCTATTGTCTTGTTTTTTTCTAAAAATTGATAATTTTAATTGAAAGTGATTTGTGGATTCTTGCAGCTTAGTTATAGACGGAAATTGAGTGAATTTAATCTTTTCAATAAAGAAAAAAGTATTTTTTATCCAATAAAGCGGGGGGGGGGGACTGGAGATTGATATTTCTAGCTTTCACTTGGGACAGATCGCATCCAATGTGTTTTTAATCAAACCTTTATTTGTTGAGGAGGGGTGTGTCTGATATTTAGAAATTATAAAACCTGTTTGTAACTTCACAAATAAAAAACATGTGCAGATTAGGTTTCTTGTGATTATGTTTAATTCACCCCATACTGAACTACAGTGAGAACTAGAAAATTCTGGAATAGTAAGACGACTTTCAGACCCAAGTTAAGTCTTAAGTTCAATGTTCATGAGAGACAGACCAGGTATCTTGTGAATATGTTTAATATGTTATCTTCTCCCTATCCCGGGCTCGGTATGTTTTGAAGAGAAAGAGTAAAATTTAACAAAATTAGCTTCTTGATGGGTGACGAAGTATTTCTCTTAACTTCATACTTTAAATAATATGATTATCTTCAAACAGGAACTTTAGTCTTTTCTAGACTCTCTAGACTCTCTAGACTCTCTAGTCTCTCTAGACTCTCTAGACTCTCTAGACTCTCTAGACTCTCTAGACTCTCTAGACTCTCTAGACTCTCTAGACTCATATGGACTCTCTAGACTCTGTAGACTCTCTAGACTCTCTGGATTATCTAGGTTGCCTAGATTCTCTAGACTCTCTAGATTATCTAGATTCTCTAGATTCTCCCGATTCTCCCGCTTTTCTAGATTCTCTAGATTATCTAGATTCTCTAAACTCGATCTAGACTCTCTAGGTTATCTTGCCTCTCTAGACTCTTTCTAAACTTTTCAACCTCTTCAGATTCTTTAAACTCTCTAAATTTTTTAAAATCTCCAAACTCTTTAAACTCTCCAACCTCTTTAAACTCTCCAAACTCTTTAAAACTTTCCAGACTCTTTAAACTCTCCAAACTCTTTAAACTCTCCAAACTCTTTAAAACTTTCCAGACTCTTTAAAATCTTTAGTTTTCCTAGACTTTCTAAACTCCCTGAACTCTTTAAACTATTGACTCTTTAGACTCCCTAGACTCTCAGTTTTTTCTAACCCTTTCAAATTCTTCAGATTCTAGACTCTTTTATCTATCTCGATAGCCAACGTTATTTAATGTTATTACTAGCTTGGGAACCCGGCGTCGCCCAGGTATTGATATATATTCAACGTTATCGTTACTCCCGAGTCCCGCCGTTTGCCCACGCTAACTATCACATTATGATTTTAGCTAAAGTTATAGAATGTTACCCCCAAGGGGTACTCACGGGTTTCCTTACAAAATTTCAGCCATGTTGGTCCAGCCGTTCTCCCAGCTCTGGCTAACATATTTATATACATATATATGAGCGAAGAGCTTTAATATATGCAATATGTATGTTTTAAAGATTATGTATATAAGGTTGAGAGAAGAGAAGGGATGTAAATGTTTAATATAATGTATAAGTTTGAAGAGCTTTATTATATGCAATATGTATGTTTTAAAGGTTATGTATATAAGGTTGAGAGAAGAGAAGGGATGTAAATGTTTAATATAATGTATAAGTTTAAAGAGCTTTATTATATGCAATATGTATGTTTTAAAGGTTATGTATATAAGGTTGAGAGAAGAGAAGGGATGTAAATGTTTAATATAATGTATAAGTTTGAAGAGTAGAGTATGAGGGAAGGTGTAAAGTTCTGCAAGAAAGTTGAATAACAAGATCTGATAGTTTTCAGTTTTAATATTTGATGAGATATTATATAAGAGAAATTAAGGATCTGTAAGAAAAAGTGACCTTCCGTGCAAAGATGACAATGCCCGATTCACTACGGTACCCAATTGAAATCTTTGGATAAATAAAATGGGAGATATTGTAGTTTTTCTAGGTTTAAACGTTTTTTATTGTTATAATTCGTTTATGTATTTCTGTAATAGAAATGTTCAAGTCACTTTTATAAACATTGATATCTTATTCATACTTGATCAGTAGCCCAATTTAAATGCATTAAGAAACTGCAAAGCTATTGTTCATAAAGCTAGAAGGAGTAATTGGCAAAATAATGCTCGATTTTTGCGTGAGAGTGTGGACATTTTGGTTAGCAGTGGCTCGGCTCTTTAAGGAGAGTGTTTGCTAAAAATGAAAATGGGGTATATAGGGTTACATCAAAAGATTATCGATGGTGATCGCTAGTAATCTTACTTCTATCTGTTGCGTCTATAAGGAGAAAATTGTAAAGACTCCTTTTAAGGATTTGCGGGCCCAATTCTTTTAAATCGTAATTATTCCTTTTAGGATTTCATTTCTTTGTTTTGAATTCTGGTTCAAATAATCTTACAGATTATTGAAATCGACAAGAACGAACCGAACATTCGCCTCAAACTCCTACAAAATCGCAACCTAATAGCCTTTTATATTTTTTAATGTCTGGTAGATCAAAAAGTCGAATTTTAAATATCAAAAATTTACACGATCTGGATGCATCGAGATATAAGTACTATTAACAATTTAGAGTGTGAGGAAAGTGGTCAGTAACTTTGTAGGGTTTTTGAGATCAAAATTCCAGGAGGGGGGGGGGATTATTTCGCCGCGCTTTGTGCAAAATATTTCAATCATTAAAAAAATGTAATATATTAAATATTTACCTGAACATTACGTTGATTGTTACATTTAAAGCACTCACTGAACATTTTCCGTTTAAATATACAAAATCCATACAGGGAAACCCATAAAACTATGGAATCATTAATTCAACATTTATAAAGATTCGAACTGAAACCCCAGGTGCAGGAAATGAATTGAAACTCCGTCTTATACAAGGAAGACTTAATCAATCCATATAAAAACTCTACTGTAGGATGCATGTAAAGGAATTGAGTATCTGCCACTAACTCACTATTTCTAAGCCCTATATCTTCCTAACCTGATGGTGTAAACCTTTGATATTTCAACCTAAGATGATCTGATCTAGCAGCAGAATTCATAGTTTGAAATATCTTGGGTCTTCGAAGTTGGGTGGCAAGGGATTAGAAACTCAGAGTTTGGGGGAAAGACTCAATTCCTTTAAAATAAAAATTCAGTTAAATTTAAAAAAGGCGAATGTTCTGCCTAAGAAAGCAAAAAGTGCAAAAAATCCCGTGTTGCTCTTGGCACAGATCTCAATAACCTTCTTCCGACCGGGACCGGGGTTTTTCTTCTTCTTTTCCTGCGGGATTCGGAATGTTGTTATCGTGTCCTTGGGAGGTTCTTTCTTCTTCTTCTTCTTCTTAGGTTGTGGAATATGTTTAACAGGTTGACTGACATGCTTGTTTAGAAGATCGAATAGTTTGTTGATGTCTTTATAGGGTATAACAGCGTAGTAATCATTGGGGCCTAAATATTAAATATGGAAAAAGACAATTTTTAAATTTTAGAATTTTTTCAAAACCACTATCACCCCGTGGCAAGTATACTTAGGACAAAAAAGGGAAAATGTGGTATGATAATTAAGAAATAATTACTTTGTCCGTTTCTCCAATGTTTCAGATTTATGAATGTATCTTTTTTAGATTTTCAACGTTTAAAAAACTTTCAATGAAAGTTTGCTTTTTTACCTAATTTTCAAATTTTTGCCTTCCATATCTTCAAGAATTAGAAAAGCAAAAGTTTAAAATACATTTTATTTTGAATTTGTTACTATATCCATACATCATGTACATGAAAAACCTTCTTTATGATACTATTGAATGTTTTTAAAGATTATAAGATAAATAAACACATTTTTAAAACTTAAATGACATAATTTTTTTATTTAGACTTTATTTCTATATTTCTTTCAGTGAATATTGCTTAAACAACAGGCCCTGAACATTTTTGATATTTAGTATTATCTGTTTCTAACTCTCAGCGTTTATAGAATATTTCCCATTGGGAAATGTAAAATTACTAAAGTTAGCACTACTAACCACAACATAACTAATAATGTAATAGACTTTTAATAGAAATACAGGCTTAAACACATGAACCTCTGTTATTTCATTATTTAAAGGCAAATGAAATCTGCAAAAAAGGAACTGAGTCTTTGCCACAAACTCAGATTTTCTAATCCCTATATCTTTTCAACCTGATAGCGTAAACTTTTTATATTTCAAACTTTGATTATTCGATCTAGTATAATTTCTAGTTAAAAATATATACGGTCTACGACTTTAATTTGCAAAGATATAGGGATTAGAAAATTTTAAGTTGAGGGAAAAACTCAATTCCTTTGTCCTTTGCATATATAATTAGATTGCAAAGATATATAATTAGATTGCAAAGATATATAATTAGATTGGAAAGAAATATAATGAGAAAATTAAAGTTTGTGATATGTTACCAGTTATTGAAAAATTCAGGCACTTGACAAACGTTTCTTTGGTTTGTGGATATTTAATACTACAAATTCAAGGCTCTTCGCGCCCTTCTTTCTAGGCTTTTAGGGCGCTTCGCGCCCATCTTCTATTTAAATTGTGAACATGTTCTTTTTTTACATTTAAAAACAAAGAAGAAAAAATGTTTGCGGATTTTTGAAAAAAAATTCACGGATTTTCAAGAATTTAATTTTTTTTACAAAATTAAAAACCTTTAAAACACATTTTTTAAAAATTTTTATCATTCATAAACCTCCCCTGTGGTCACATGATGTCCTACAAAAAATTTGGGCCCGATCGGTTCAGCCGTTTTGACGTTTATAGAAACAGACAGACAGACGGACAAACAAACAGACAAGCCAAATTTATAGATAGAAGATGAGTTAAAATCATACATGAACACAAATTATGAACTCAAAATCTAATCAAAACTAAAATTAAATTGTCAATACTGTGCATTTTTTTTAACGAGTACGAACGGTCATGAAGTTACCTTTTGGTTTACTTATTTGACTGGGTGGGTTGTAGTTTAACCCTGGAGCTGGTCTATTATAAACAGGACCCGGAGTAGTGGAGTAGGGTTGCGGAGTAGTTGTACTGTATCCATGTTCAGGTTGTGCATGTTTCACAGGCTTCTCGTAGCCGGGCTTCTGATCCTTAGGATTGATGGGAGTCGGATCCTGAAGGATAAAAGAATTGAAGAATAATCAGACTTCATTCAAAGCCAAGATTAGGGGTTTCTTACAACAGAGCAAAAAGAGGAAAAGAACTATTGAGAAAGTAACATAGATAAATGTATAATGGTGAAGATAATGCTTTTGTTGATGGTGGTTAAAAGGGAAGATATAAGGAAGAGGGGGCCGGTGGAGGGGGGGGGGAGAGGGTAATGTATAATTGGAAAAGTGTTTTTTTTTTACTTAATCAGAGTCCAAAACTAAAGAACGAAAAGTTTTGACTTAAATTTTAAGTTCATGGTTAAATGCCACTTCTGACTTAATTTAAACCTGAACTTTAACCGTGAGGTTAAATATTTAACTCGCCGAAATCGACGAGTTAAAATTAATCACATGGTTAAAATCTTGAAATCCCGCAATCCCTATTTGTCTATCATCATTCAGCGGTAAGAGGCATTCAATATGTGACTAGAAATATGTTTTGTTTTTCGTCACGTAACTTAAAATTTAAAAAAACAGCTGATTACCGAATACCGATACTTACGTAATAATTCTTTAAATCCTTTTCTCTGATTGGTTCAGATTTTTTCCGGGAAATTCAAATTTAAAATTGAGAAAGTTTAATATTTAAGTAGCTATTCATTATTTTACAGAACTTTTAACCTCGAACTTAAAATTCGCGCATTCTTTAGTTTTAGACTCAGGTAATTAATTAAAAACTAATCACCGGAATAAATTCTTCATGGATAGGATAGTAATCATTTTTGGGAGGAGCAGGATCCCTGGTTGGATAGTTTGGTTCAGGTTTAGGTTTATACGGCGCTATGCTTGTTCCAGGTCTGTATGGAGCTGAGGGGTGGTTGGATCCAGGTCTATACGGAGCTGAGGGGCGGTTGGATCCAGGTCTGTATGGAGCTGAGGTAGGTACAGGCTTATACGGAGCTGATGTTGGTTTATGTTTCTCCGCCGGGGAATAGGAGAAAACTTGAGGTTTTTTAGTTGTTGGTTTCGGATAGGTTAGCTCCGGTGGCGGAGTGTTTGGCGGTGAATAGTTTATATCACTAGGTGGTCCGGTGTCCTGAAGAAGTTCACAAATTAGACAGGGGTTAAAATATATCCACGAATTAGACAGGGGTTAAAATATATCCACAAATTAGGCAGGGGTTAAAATATATCCACGAATTAGACAGGGGTAAAAATATATCCACGAATTAGACAGGGGTTAAAATATATCCACAAATCAGGCAGGGGTTAAAATATATCCACGAATTAGGCAGGGGTTAAAATATATCCACAAATTAATCAGGGGTTAAAATATATCCACAAATTAGACAGGGGTTAAAATATATCCACGAATTAGACAGGGGTTAAAATAAATCCACGAATTAGACAGGGGTTAAAATATATCCACGAATTAGACAGGGGTTAAAATATATCCACGAATTAGGCAGGGGTTAAAATATATCCACGAATTAGACAGGGGTTAAAATATATCCACGAATTAGACAGGGGTTAAAATATATCCACGAATTAGACAGGGGTTAAAATATATCCACGAATTAGACAGGGGTTAAAATAAATCCACGAATTAGACAGGGGTTAAAATAAATCCACGAATTTGGCTTTTTACTCAGCTTGATATAGCTCACACGTGCAATTTTCAATTACTTAAAAAGTCTTAAAATTAAATTTAAAGAATATAAAATAGGTACGCTAATCTGTTGTACAGTACGGGGCATCTAAACAGAAACTTAAAGTAACAGTAAAATATGATCCTGGTTTCCTCCTGTATTAATCTGTCCCTGGAGCTGGTTTAGAATATCCTGGATTGAAGTTGGAGGACCCTTCTCATCCTTTATATGAGGTTGGCCGAGTAGGAAGGGATCAAAGATTGGAGCTGCAGGGTTTAAGATTGTATTATAGTTTACGACCTCAGGTAGTACACCAGGATACAATGAGTTAGCCAGTTCAACCAGGTCTCTTCAATACAACAACAAATAATAAACTTTCAAATTTCAAAAAAAAATTATTAAAAATCCTGAAATTAAAAATAACAAATTGACAAAGCATTCTACTAACAATTTTTAAAAAAATCTTCTTTATAGTAAATGCAAATAAAAAATGAAAACAATACTTAATTCCCAAAAATAATTGCAGAAAATTTTGAATTGAAAAAACTGTAATGTTAACTGATATAAACTTACTTATCTACTGGAGTTGCTAGCTGAAGGTGTTCAAGCTGATCCCTGTAAACCAATCCTTCACAATTTTATCATTCAAGAACAAAAGATTTCTACAAACTAGAGAGAAAGAGAAAGTCAAATTTTTGCGACACTTCTAGAACAACTTTGTGACCTTGTAGTACCTTTAGTTTTCATTTTTTCGCAAGAAATCAAATTTATCTGGTCACATTTTTTAGAAACTCAAAACATTTTTGTTCTTCTCGGTAGCGCTTTAATAAGAGGAACCAAGATGAAAACATTAAAGATTTCAATCTAACCTGCAGTTTACTTTAGTTTAAGGTTTGTGCAATTTTTATAGAAAAAAGAAAGAATATACATCTTTTTAACTATTTGTCAATGTAAAAAAAGCTACTGTGTATATTGGATCTTGGTTTTTGGAAAATTATTTGTATCCATGAACCTGGATTTTGGATATTGTATATCCTAGAACCTGTATCCTGGATATTGTATATATACTGGATCCTATTGTATTATATCCTGGATCCTGTATCGTGGATATTGTAAATCCTAGAACCTTTATCCTGGAGCTATTATCACAGAAACTAGATCCTGAATCCTGGATATTGTATTTACTTCTTCTGTATTCTGTGTCTTAGAACTAGCCATGGCTCCTAAATATCCGGGTTAACCGGATTGTATATCCTCTATGTCTAGGACACCGGATCCTGTATCCAGTATATCCTTTAAACACTGGATCCTGTATCATGTATATCCTTGACATCGGAGTCTGGATCTTTCATTCTTAATATCCCGTATTTTGTATCCTGTATCATGAATCATATTGAATATGTATGTCCTGTATTCTGTATCCTGTGTCATGATGTATATTGAATACATATATCCTGTATCTTGAAGCATACTGAATTTGTATGTCCTGTATTCTGTATCCTGTATCATAATGTATATTGAATACATATATCCTGTATCATGTAGCATATTGAATATGTATGTCCTGTATTCTATATCCTGTATCATGATGTATATTGAATATGTATGTCCTGTTTTCTGTATCCTGTATCATGATGTATATTGAATACAAATATCCTGTATAATGGAGCATGTTGAATATGTATGTCCTGTATTCTGTGTCCTGTATCATGATGTATATTGAATACATATATCCTGTATCATGAAGCATATTGAATATATGAATGGAATGGATTTGGGTTTCCTAACATCCGCAGGAAGATAAGGAAGAGGTAGAGCGTAGTATCCCAGGGATGAATTCTCCTGTAATATTCAGAAGATAGAGAAAGAGAGCTAACGGAAAATCAAAGTATAATCAATTCTTACCGAAATAAAATGGTATCACACTTCGTAAGGTTTTGAAATACTAATTTCGAATTTTTCTTTTTTAAAGCTACTGTCATTGTAATATTCAAGTGTCCCTCCAATTCCAATTCACAACGGTACCCTTTAAACCTTTATCTGATAAAAAATGTGGGGAAATTCCGTTTTTCTAGCATGAAAAGTGGAAAATTCTGACCATTTTCTTTTTTTCTGCAGCATAAATCTGCCAGCTAGTTTTGTGCAAAAAATGCGAATGGAGGGTCGCTTGGAATTGCATCTACAATTCTTTTATCCCAATATTTCTTGTATTTTTTTTCATTGTAATCTGGAATTTTTTTCAGGGCTACCCAAAGTCCTTCCCCCCTTGTTAAGTCTATTTACGCCTGCAATATCTAAATATTAATGAATAATATGAAACAATTGAAGTATCCCACCTCCCTCCTCCTTCTTCTTCTCCTCCGGGAACAACTCAACTTAGTTTTATAGGTTTCCTGTTCCCTGTTCGAACAAATTTCTGCAAGTTTTATACACAAACTTTTACTTCAAGTGAAATGAAGTGTCTGAGTTAGAATATATTTCTCCTAATAGATGCACTTTTTATACGATGGGATTTTAAGTTAAAAAACTAACCATTTTTGTTTTTATTTTTTAAAGTTTCATATTTTTTGCTTTTTAAGTCTTAAAACTAAAAATCTGTATAATAAAGCAAGACATTCATATATATGTTGCCTATTGCCGGATAAACGGCTGGACCGATTGGGCTAAAATTAGATTTCAGAAAAGTATAATGATTACATACTTACCACAGCTACAGAAAGTTATGAATTTAAGAAATATGTACTGTGTGCAGATCGTCACTAAAATTGTGTTCTTTTTAGTTTAATTCAATTTATTCAATCAATGAATAATGAATATCGATTTTCATATTTTTGCTTTTTTGACTTGAATTTCTATTGAATCAAACAAAATAAGGTAAACGCATATCGTTAGTTAATCATGAACTATAGTGGGTATATCCGTTAACATATTCGTCTCTATAGTGGGTGTATCCGTTAACATATTCGTCTCTATAGTGGGTATATCCGTTTACATATTCGTCTCTATAGTGGGTGTATCCGTTAACATATTTGTCTCAATAGTGGGTATATCCGTTTACATATTCGTCTCTATAGTGGGTGTATCCGTTTACATATTTGTCGCAATAGTGGGTATATCCGTTTACATGCTCGTCTCTATATAGTGGTTATATCCGTTTACATATTCGTCTCTATAGTGGGTGTATCCGTTTACATATTTGTCTCAATAGTGGGTATATCCGTTTACATGCTCGTCTCTATAGTGGGTATATCCGTTTACATATTCGTCTCTATAGTGGGTGTATCCGTTTACATATTTGTCTCAATAGTGGGTATATATATCCATTTACATGCTCGTCTCTATAGTGGGTGTATCCGTTTACATATTAGTCTCTATAGTGGGTATATCTGTTTACATATTCGTCTCTATAGTGGGTATATCCGTTTACATGTTCGTCTCTAAAGTGGGTGTATCCGTTTACATACTTGTCTCAATAGTGGGTATATCCGTTTACATATTCGTCTCTATAGTGGGTATATCCGTTTACATATTCGTCTCTATATTGGGTATATCCGTTTACATACTTGTCTCAATAGTGGGTATTCTGTTTACATATTCGTGTCTATAGTGGGTATATCTGTTTACATATTCGTCTCTATAGTGGGTATATCCGTTTACGAATGTTTATGAAATACATACTTGTCTCTATACATAAAATACAAAGTAATCTGAGCTTCATCGTTTGCTTCAAATCTTCTCAAATATATCAATCTTAATACATACTTTGCTTGTCTGTCTGTCTGTTTGTCTGTTTTTGTCCAATGAAAGTCAAAACGGCTGAACCAATCGAGCCCAAAATTTTGTGTGGGGCCTCACTTGAACCCAGGGAAGATTTATGGATCTTGTAAATTTTGAAAATGCGCAAAAAATATTATGAAATCCGCAAACTTTTTTTGTTTGTTTTTTTCTAGTAAAAACAGAAGATGCTCAGTGCTCACAGACAGAGTCACAATCAAAAGTTGAAATAGAAAATGGGCTAAAAACCTAGTAAATTACAAATATTAATAAATTAAGTTGTAACACCTCGCTTTCTTTAAAAGGGTTATTAACCCATTTAAAAAAAAACTCATAATACTCCAATCACCAAGATCATACTACGCGTACGGCGCATATATTGGGATATTAAATTGTTAAACAATCCCTTTAAAGATTAATTTGATTGTTTAAATGTTTTGTGTCTTTCCTGAAATATTTTGTGTTGAGAGGGGTAGAAATGTATACGGATAGAGGGAGCAGGGACGGGTTGAGGAGAAGGGTAGAAATGTAGATGGATATAGAGAGCAGGGACGGGTTGAGGAAAAGGATAGAAATGTAGATGGATATAGAGAGGAGGGACGGATTGAGGAGAAGAGAAGTTTTGAAGACGGGATAAGATTAGTTTTCCAAGATTTTTCTTTGTAAAATGTTTGCTCGGCTAGGTTTCCCGGTTTTAACTTCTCCAAACTGAAATTCAGAAATAAATATTAAATAAACATTTGACAGAATAAACTCAGCGGCTTTCACCACTAGCCGTAAAATGAAATATGCACGTTCTGACGCAAAGATTCAACAGGATTTTGCAAATACTCCTTAAAGAGACTGTAAGCGCGTGTAATTTCAAGTGTCCCTATGTTAGATCAATGAATTATGTTAGATCAAATAATCTAAGTTTGAAATATCAAAGGTTTACACTTTCAGATTGCAAATATATAGGGATTTGAAAATTTAAGTTTGTGGCTAAGACTCAATTTCTTTGGGATTAAAAATCCAGCAAAGGGACAGATTTGGAAAGAAGAACTTGGATCAGGATTGGTACAGTGATAAACAATAGAATGATTTTCGATGTACTTAGCTGCATTTCTAATAGATTAAATTGGAACGACAATCATTCAGCAAGCTGTTTATTGGTTATTATATGGTGACATTTTTAATCAAAAGATTGAATGGAGATGACAATCATCCAGATGTCTGATGGTAATTGAGCTGTATTTGACTACATTTTTAATCAAAAGATTGAATGGAGATGACAATCATCCAGATGTCTGATGGTAATTGAGCTGTATTTGACTACATTTTTAATCAAAATGGTTTGTCAATCATTCAGCTGTTTATAGGTTATTCCTGAGTTTTGCGACATTTTTAAACAAAAGATTGAATGGAGATGCCAATCATTCAGCTGTTTATTAAATGAAATTAATTTAACCTGATGACTGACTTCAAGAACATCATGCAGAGGATAACCAAGTTTTTAATCATCATCTTCTAGATCCTTTCCACATTTTTTATCTGAAATATTCGGAATTTTTTTTAGTTTTTTTAAAACTAAGGAAGACAAACACTCCAATCTGAACTAACCAAGGGAGAAATGAATTCGATTTCTCCTCGTTGATTTCAATCATGTTTTGTTCTATAGTTCAACAAGCTTTAAACTTACGGAGTTGTATATTCATACTTGTTAATTTAAAACTGTTTCGCTACTTAGCGATTTCCCTAAAGACCTAATATATGTACCGTGTGGTATTTCTCAGGATTGGATCGTAAGACTCCCTTCTCTCAACGCTCTTCATAATAAAAAGGAGGATAGCAGATGAGATAAACAATG